GAACAAAAACTTGAGCTGATAAATTACTGTAACCAATACAGCAGTAATAAATTTAAGACAAGTTAACAAAAGAACTATGAGACACTTGACAAAAGGGCAATTTACCTAACAATTTTAAAATAAGGCTGACATAAGAACGTACTCGCGATAACTTTCAACTCTAGCCAACACATTTTATTTGCATTATCTGCACAGAGGTCACACTCAAATGGATAGCCACATGGACAGGGGCTGGGCAGGGAATTGGTTTCTACTACTACATAGTAAATTCCACAAGAAATAAATCAATCTGCAAATCATCAAATGCTTGATCAAAAAACAAAACGTGTCAGTCAATCAACTGATCAATGAATTTGAGACAAGGCCAGCCAACCAGCAGCCACTAAGTGGTTTATCAATATTGTTAGCTACCCTTCATGTATAACCAAATGCATATAAATACCTTCCTTTGGAGAAGCAACATCACTACTGTTTTCAGCTGGGATTTTATTTGGTGCAGTTATATACACTGTGGTAAGAACAAGAAGATAAAATGACAAAAAAAAATTAAAATAAAAACCTTAAATTTAAATAATTGATATGCAATTGATGGACTATGAAAACAACATCCTCAAGCTAACATTTCCTACCAAATTCAAGTGGAAGTTTCTTAAGGTTCTTCCTGAAGGCACCAAGCTTCTCTTTACATGTCTTGGCACTCTGTCTTAAAAAAACATATATATAAAAAAATAGAAAAAGGGATAAATAAAAATGATGACGAGTTTCCTACTTCTAACCTCGTTGACTACGCACCTAGAGTTAGCAGAGAATGGAGCCTCCATCGATCATTTGGCCGGGAGGGGGAAGGGCTTATAGAGGTACAATTGTAGCTCATTGATATACCCTTCTGATTACATTTTCATATTTCTGTGCTACAAATTAACGGAAAATGTAACTTTAGCGAAACTAAAAAGCGTTCACAACACTTATCACTTCTGCAAACGCAGCTGAACCTCTACCTTCGCTATAAACTTCAAACCTCTCCAAATCTCTAGCTGCATCGTCATTTTGCTTATTTACCTGTATCCATGAAGTACCAATATCTAAAGAGCAAAAATATATTAAAACTGTCAGCCAAACTTTGCTCTAGAACAAATAATGGCAAGTTTGTTTTTTGTAGTTTTTTACCCTCAAGCTTTCCGCCATCTTTGATTTCCGCTGTACATACCAGCTGCTTACCACTGGCTCAGTTATGACTTGGCAAAAATGGCGGACGAATGCATTAAAACAGCGAACCTACCGGCAAACATGAAATTGTTCGTGTTTGATCTCGCAGGCACAACTGTAGATGACTCGATTGAGGGTGTACCACTTGTGGCTATTGCAATGAAAGAAGCTTTCCACAAAAATGGTTACAAAATCGACGTAAGCTTAGTCAACAAATACCGTGGAATGGAGAAGAGAGACGCAATTCAGAGTATCTTGAACGAACTGCACAAGTTAAACGGGTCAAACAACAGTTCATCTAACATCAGCGTCGATGGTTTATTTGAGGATTTCAAATTCTTTCTGAATCAGAATTTGTCATCGATTAAAAACGAAATCGCTGGAACGACTGAAGTTTTTCAGAAGTTGAAATCCACAGGGGCTAAGATTGCCGTTGGCAGCGGCTTCCCGCATAGTGTCGTTGAAACTATCACACGTACCTTGAACTGGTCCATCCTGGTCGATTTTGTTTGTAGTGCGGAGAAAGCGGGGCATGGAAGGCCTCATCCGGCAATGATCCATTCTGCTATGAAATTTTGTGGCGTAAAAGATCCACGATCCGTTGTCAAAGTTGGGGACACTAAGGTAGATGTTGAAGAAGGAAAAAACGCTGGCTGTTGGACGATCTCAGTGTTAACTGGGACACAGAGTAGAGAGTTTATTGCAGAGAGTGAACCGGATTTTATCATCAATAGCATTGCTGATTTACCCTATCTATTATCAAACGGAACATGACATTTATGATCTCGCGTTATAACTGTGTTGAACGATTTGAATAATTTGAAATTCTAAATAAAAACGAAACGAAGCCTTTCGTATTGTGTCGTAGTCTGTCATAAAATGATCATCTGCAGGGTAAAAGTCAGTAAAGATTGGCCAAATCAGGAATGTTGTTTCTCACAAAGAGCTTCTTATGGCCGACAGCGTCCGCATATTTAAACGTCACGGATGGGAAAATTAAACCCTGATTCACTTTTATTTCTGCGGAGATATGACGCTTGATTTACTCTCATGCGTTTTGGAGTAAGCTTCCAATTAGTCAAAGATTAAATGCGGAAATAGGTTAAATGTGTTCATGGTGATGTTTGCATCATGAGAACAATATTATTGTTGAAGGTACATGTGCTGGTAATCTAATGAAACTCAATTATGATAATAACTAAGTAACATACAGAAACTGTTATGTCTCTGAAGTGATTACTCTTTAAGGCCGAAGTCTTAGGTAAACATAAAATACAACGATTGTTCTTCGTTTGAACTAATCGTCTTAATTCTGAATAGCAATTTTGTCACTTCTACTCAAGGTTACCAACACCCTAAACGTGTAAACCAAAATGCAGAGGTAGCCGGAAATACATCTAAATCTGTTAAAAATAAATTTGTAAAAAAATAAAGGTGAGTGAGGTGGTGAACTGAAGAGAAAACTTCCCACTTCGAATTACTTGTTATATTTTTATCGCAATTCGCCACCGTAAAAACCACAATATTGAGGCGGAAAGCTGGAACTAGTATCCGGCCTTTTAAAACATTACTGAGAATTCTAATAATGCTCTCACGTACATGTATAAGCAACAGGTGCAAGTTGAAAAGCCACTTGCACGTTTACAGCTTGCTTGGAAAGTAGACCTTTCCTTCAATTGGCTTTTAATTCTACAATATTTCAGCTTCTAGACATTAAATGGTGCTACACCATCGGGAGATTGGTTGAGCACAGCTAAGCTAAACTGTAGGCACCAAGGGTCTGAGCCATTATATAAAGCCTCTATACCATAGCAAAATTCTTGAGTTCATTTTTCAGGCCTCACTACTAAAGCAAATGCCACTGATGCCACTGATGCCACTGATACCACTGATACCAAAAAACCACTAAATAGATGAATAGTGAACAGGTTGAAGGTTTCCATCGAACCCCATTGACCTTTGTTACTCGGCATATTTGCATCACTTAACTCGAGAAAGCGAATACAAACAGACCTACATGAATCGCTAATGATAAACACGTGAAAAAGAAAGGTCGAATAACAAGCTGGAAGAACTTAGACTGAAAGGAAAACGAAACAGCGATTGGAACTTTCATGGAGTTCAAACTCTATCTCTGCAAGAATATTTTGTATGGTTTACCAAGTGTTTGAAGGTTAGTCCCCACAGCCGAGTCTATCTCACTAACATTCATATGCAATTACTTCACTGAAATAACCAATACATCTTAAATTTGGAAACCTTTTATGTGACCTGAGCCGGGAAAAACCTTGGACTATAGACTCAGGCTATGTAAGGATAAAACAAACACTAAGAAACTATTATGCACAGATCCTGAGACGAAAAAATACTTCACTACGATAGGTCCAACGAAAAGTAAAAAATACCTCCTATTCGCCGAAAAAAGCCCCTGAAATACATCAGTTCTATGTTTGAGCATAGACGGAAAATACACACAGCGGAGATAGCGAAACTTCAATTCTTGCTGTTTGAATGGCTGTTTGGGCAAACGTGTTCTTAGATATTTCCACTGATAACTAAATAGAGAAAGGAAAACTGAATTAATCATTCCTCAGTGGAGCTAAGAGCATTGTATTTTCTCTCGAAGCCAATTTTACTCGATACCTTTAGACGATTAACAAGTCACGCATTTAACTATTGGGTTGCTTGAGCACTTACACATATTAGCACTTTTAGAGGTCTTTTGTCTAGAGGCAGTCCATCATTAGAGCCTTGTGTTCCATTCACAGTTTATTTCTATAGCTATCAGACATAAGTTTTACACATTTCACCCTACACTTTCTTTGCATATATATAGCGCGCCCGGAATATTTTCTCATCCCTGATGATGCCGTTGATCGGCAAAAGCTTGGATTTTAGATTTTACTTTTTAAACAGCAGTTTAAGGCCTCATTAGAACAGTTTTGTATTTTTAATTCTGCTGCTGAAGGACAACATGAACAGAGTACTTACACATGAGTTTGCTGTAATGATCAAGGTCACTACTAGTAAATCTTGGGTCATCAAACTATATAGCTACTTTCCACCAATAAAAAAGTGATAGTTATTAGTTCTGAAATGCAGAAAAAGACAAAGAGGACAATGATATACCAAGAAGGAATAAGGATGACTGTGGATTAAGAGGATTGTGACGGATTGCGGAAAAGGAAGACTAAAGAAATTTCAAAGCTCACCTATCGTGACATACTTAGTTCCTTTTTAAGTGCTGCGAAAGGATATAACATCAGACATGCCATTCACTTACAGCTTCCGGCTATCAGATATTCTGTGACACCTCTGTGTCCTTTGCTAAAACAGTAATTTTCCTTCATTAGATACTTTTGACCAACCTTACAATAACAGTAACTTATGAAACAGCCATTTTTGCTGAGAATGTCCAAAGCTTTTTTATGACGTTTTCTAAAATCTATGGCTGAACTTACTCTGTTGCGATTCTTTGGCGCACATCGCTTGCGCGAGTCTCTCGAGGCCAATTAAAAATAACCGCGCTTCTCGCGGGAGACCGCCCTTAGTCGATCTCAGGATGTACTGAAATCTGTTAATCCTTTCACACGCCCAAAAGAAAAAAAAGAAAAACAATTTGAAACAAAAAGACAAAAATATTAAATAAAAAGAAAAATAACACAAAGCAGAGGTCACCATTTTAATAGGATGAATTACGACAATTTCATGATCAAGAACCTTGGCAACCGAGGAAAAATTATTTGATAAACTGATCAGATAACAAAACTACGTCACTTCAAGATTAAGTTAGAAGAAACCACGCAAAGGAAACACTTAGAAAAAATTATTTGAACTGCATTCCATGATATTGCGGCTGAAAGGGGAAGTGGAATGACACCCCTCAACAGTAGCAGGACGGCTTGCTTTGGGGTCCAGTCGGTATAAAGTATGTTTCTATTAGAGAGTTTTAATTGTGATGGGAATCCTAGCCTCTTGTCAAGTAGTTCAGAGAAGTTTGTAACCGGCAAGAATCTATAGATGAGTTATGTTAATCAGTGGTTGAGGTTTTATGGCCTCTACTGATGTCAAGGGTATTTATATCATTTGATATTAGCCGCTGATCATTTATCCGGACTCCCTACGGCAAAGTGCATTGTGAACACAACGTCCGTTTTCAAACCATATTATAGACATTTGTGGATTTTTGCGAAGAAAAATGTTTTCTCAAGCCTTGGGTCTTTATCAATATTGACATTCAACTTCTCACTTCTCCCACTACTTTTAATTACCTCTTGCCTGCAGTGCCGGCTTCGAGGTAACTATAACAATAATAGCTTTGAATTCTGTAAGTTTGACAACTGAACCAGGAATTTCTTTTGTTGACCTTTGATTAAGCAGTAATTTTAAAGCGCGTTAAATGTAATGTGATGCAACTATTTTGGAAGTATGTAAATTATTACCAAATCATGTCACGGTTGAATTGGGAAGTCACACGAACTGATATTAGTTTCTGAAAACCGCTGAGAAACATTAGTTATCGAGAATATTAGCTATGAAGAACACATGGATTTAGTTTGCTGATCAAGACGACAGGAAAGATAGACCACCAGCGTTTTACTTCGTGTCTTTCCCATCAGTGACATCAACTGCTTATATTATTTCAGTCGCGCTTTGGCGAACATTGAGCACATGACCTTTTGTCGCTAATAAACCACCGCGGAAGCCTATTGCTATTACGCCATTTGTCCTCAACCTGTAATAACGGTAAAGTCTTTTCGATCATCCATCAATCTCCGATCAACTTGGAACAGTCAGTCAACTACTGGCTGCTGGTAAGTGTACCCTCTGTTAGAGAACGTTAGATTATTCTTCAACAGCGATCGTTAATTGAGTCAAGCAAGAGCCACCCCGTTTCATTGTTCACTCGCTTAAGTTTTATGATCACTTCTCTGAATAACTTTGTTCTACTTAGAATTGGACAGTATTCGTCGCTTTTACCCGTATCACATACTCTTCGACATTTTCTAAGTCTGAATAACGAAGATAGCGGGGAAAAAATCGTTCTTAAAAGTGAACAACACCGAACATTCAAAATATTTCCTTGTCAGGAAGTCGATCGCCTGGTTAAAGATTTGTTTAAACTATTTTGGCTTGTAACAGTCTTTGGATTACTACTTTGACCGGGATGCGTTTTTGTAAGGTTTTGGTTAATGTGAGGCGTTGCGTTTACCAGCAAACTCTTAACTCAGTGAGCTGAGGTACAGACGGTGAAAGTACGCATAATTAATATGAGTTAGCCAGTAGGTACAAGTCGGTCTAGGTCTGTAATTGATAATTAAAACAAAGGAGATGATGATGACCTCTCTTCTCTGAAAAAACAAAACAAAACAAAACAATGACAATCGAGATGCCACATAACTGGCCTTCGCTTAACGGGGAGAAAAAAAAACCAAAAAATATTAGATTCAAGCATGTTACTGAATAACTTTTGACAAAGCCACATCTCAATGCTTGTCCATCGCCACACTAATTGGCCGTAAAAAACAAGGACGTCATCAGATGGCCATCAAATTGTCATCGCTGCTCTATGCTTATTGAACATTCATTTCGTAGTTAAGAAATGAAATAATTTTTAATACCAGTATTAGGCAAATTACTCACAACTTCAATTAGTATTCGCCATCACCATTATTTCACTTTTTTCATTTTAATCGGAGAACGTCTCTATACTTTAAGTGAGCTAATAGAGATCAATGAAGTACTTTCTTACCGCGAGTTCAAAGATATTCGTATTCTGTGACGAATGATGATTTAATCAGGCAGAAAATATTAACAAGTCCACTGCAGATTCTATGCTGATGCCAAATTTTTAGGCCTCGAGAAATCCTGCCTCATTATGATCGAGAAGTCAGACAACAAAATGAAACTTTCAGGACTGACTTGTGCACACTGAAGACTGTACCAAATGGTCGTTACTAATAAACATCATGGTCGGTCACCATTGCCTCGGACCCGGTTCATGTAAGTTTGCAACAATTTGGAAACGATTAAAAAATGAATCGAGTCAACTTTTGGTATTATTTTTATGAGCAACACTCATGAAAGCTTGTACCTAAGCATGAGGGATACCTTCCACGTGGCTGATACTAGCAGTATGCAAAATGTGTCAGAACCCTCGCAATTTCCAGCTTATGGACGTGTTTTCCCTAGCTCAACTTGATTCTTAGGTTATAATCCTCTTTGAGAACTCAAAAGCTTATTTCGTCCCACCTTAAAAATAAGTGTTATAAACCTTTCTTCTCTTCTCGAAAAAGATAAATGGCCACCGGAAATCAAAATCTCAGAGATACGGGCGAAATGCCACTGCATTAGCCAAGGCTTTTGCCTGATTTCTTTTCCACGCCCTATCACTGTTGAGCCCTTGGTTGCTTTACATCTTTTTTTTCCCACTATTGGGCTTAAATGCATAAGTTAATACGATATTTTTTGTTGTTTTCTGGTGAAAAGAACAGCGCATGGCACATGGATCACCGAATGCGATTTATGTTATTCATCTTACTGCAGGCTGTAGCCTTTTCGTCGACTGAAAAAGGTATGAAATTAGAAACGTCATTTAACCCTTATCTCATTTCTCCTCGAATCCAAAAAGACCATTTGAATAATAGTAATGACTTGAGGTAATCAAACTGTTCACCCATAATTTCAACATTGGTTTTCGCGGATGAAGTGGTCTTTTGCCTTTGAAACGGCAAATAACCAAGACCAATCAGTAAAACAAATCTCACCAGAACCGTTGAGAACTCAAGGTAAATGGGTTTTTCCAGTTCTAATATTTTTTCATTTAGTGTTTATTTTTGCTATATGCTAATAATTCTTTTTTATCTTTTTATAATACTTTTGTTGCTTATCGTAACGAGTTGGTGTCTTGTTTGATTAAGTTGCTATCGTAATGAGATAAATTATGTCATTTGCGAGCTAATTAGAAACGAATCATCAACCATACTTTATAAAAGGATAATTGCTGTTCAGCTCTGTACACCAGCAAGATGCCTGAAGCGCTTGAATGCGAATTACCAAGTTGCGAACGCCAATTAGAGGGTACCTCAGTCGGTTTTTAATTTATTTCTGGGGGAACCTCTTCGTGACTAAAATTTTTAATGATAATCCTGAATTTTAATTCACATTTGAATTTCCTAAAGACTGATCCTAATTTGGTGATATCAACTGAGTTGATAACGTAAACTGACCACCTTAAGGAGTTTAACAGCTGACGTTTCGAGCGTTAGCCCTTCGTCAGAGCCCTTCGTCAGAGCGGAACGTCAGCTTTGAACTCCTTACGGTGGTCAATTACATTATCAACTCAGTTGAAATTATTTAATTACCCTGTTATACTTTCCCACCGACGCAGCACTACAGTTTCTTTAGAAACTTACCCCATTTATTTACTTTTATTTTGACCTGATCGACCATCGGGTTGGAAAGACCATTTTACTTATTTTTGTTCAAGAATATTATTTTAGGGCTTATGAGAGAGGAGTGAAGGAAGGGTCCATGTAAATGCCTTTTAAACGTTTAATACCGCTGTGGCTCCATTGGTGTGGCGAAAGAATAAAACTGATATCTCTCTAGGAAAAGAGTTTGTGTTTCATTTTTTCAATCATAGCCTTCCTTGATAACCTGTCGAAGCGAACATAGTCACTCAACAAAGAACTTCCGTTAATGATAAACATCGGTGCCTTTCTATCCTTTAACCAGCACATTTTCATTTCAAATGAATGAAGGGGGTAAGTTTCTGAAGAAACTGTGGTGCTGCGTCGGTGGGAGAGTATAGCAGGTGATATCGCTCTGAAGAAGGGCTGACGCTCGAAACGTCAGCTTTTTTCCCCTTTACGGTGGCCAATTTACGTTTCCAACTCAGTTGTTAACACTTAATTACATGCTATTTTCAATTCAGTTGTTATGCAAATTAGGCCGACAGAAGGTGGCAAGTGGGACAACTGGGAAACACGTCCATCGCTTGGGTCAACGGTATGATTTTATTGCTCTCAAGTAATGTTTGAAGCCATTACGATTGTCTCATTGCTCATAAGTATATATTGATTTTCAAGCAGTTTCCCAGGCTTGGCAAGGTAACCCTTTTCCAACGCACCACAAAGTACTGACCAATCGGAAAAAATCGTTGGATTAAAATTTTTTTTTAAAATTTTTGTTTCGAACAGTGGAAAAAGACACAAAATGCTGCGGGGAAACAACGCTACGGGATCTGCGCAGTCAATGATCAACAACCAAATGCCTGGCTTAGAAGTGGCGTTATCAGAGTACCAAGTTCAGTAAAAAAGGTTTATATTGCCTTTGTATACAATACAAAGAATTGTACAGTACTTGGGGGAGATAATTTTTGCAAAGAATATTTCGACTTATACGTGCATCAGTCCGGGGCTTCAACAGTACCCGACCCTTTACAAAACAACGCTTCTTACGTAAAGATTGCTGAAATAACTGCGCCGATTCTTGGTATCGTCAGAACAACGAAAACTTTTGGAGTCGAAGTAAAAGGAGATTACATCGTTCTGGCATTTAATAGCCAAGGTTCTTGCAGCTCCATTTACTCTGTTATTGTCAGTTATTACGTCTGCCCAACGTACACTGTTGCTAGTAGCTTGGTGTCCTTACCACGCTCCATAGCTCCAGCAAATGACTCGGTGCCAGTTCTAGGTCATTGTGTTACAACTGCCGTCTACCATCAAGGTATTCTAAGTGTGGACTGCCAAAGCGATGGCGTTTGGAACATCAGTTCACTTAAAGGAAGATGCATATGTAAAGAAAGCAAGGAGAATAGAGACGGAGAATGCAAAGGTACATCATGTGTCATGTTAGATAAAGATAAAGATAAAGATAAATTTTTCATAATTTGGAGAAGGACCAGGTCAAGCGTATTAGTCATGTAACAATTCAATGAATAACTGATAATTTGAAAATGAATCTTTCAATCGTTTCTGTAATCAAATTAAAACCTTAACAATGTATTTACTTAGAGACTCCAGTTGTTAAAGTATTTACTGAATGAAATACTTAAAAAGAGGTTTGTCTTGAGACAGTGGACATTGCGAACGACAGTGGATACTACACACAAAAAATTAACAGTTTGAAACAAATAGAAAATTATAAGTATGATTTCCAGGATCTGTAAATAGCCCTTCATGCGTAACGGAATGGTCGAAGTCATTTATTTTTATATAAATGTCTTTTTGATTTGGGTATCATACCGCTTCATGGATACCTTTCCTTTTATCTGCTTGACTTTTTCTTTCTGAGACTTTGTGATATTTCAAAATTGCATTATCAGCAGTTGTTAAACAACTAAAACTTCTCTCCAAACTGTGTTTAGGTTTTTTTTGCAACAAAATACTGGAACTGCAAATTGTATTATCAGCAGTTGTTAAACAACTAAAACTTCTCTCTAAACTGTGTTTAGGTTTTTTTGCAACAAAATACTGGAACTGACGTTTAACCAAATCTGACAAAGATTGCTAGATTAGCCCAATTTTAAAATCCAACTTTTCACATGTCCTGTCTGTAATTAATTAAGTAGTTTCTTTGTTCATTCATTAATTAGTTATTTGGTATTGTTTCGTTAGATTGTATTCAGGGGAAATACAACGACGGAAGTGGCCTTAATTGTACAGGTACGGAACCAGACGTTGCAAAAAGATTTAGCTCTGTCAGATAAATTTAGATTTACCGGTTAACAGTCTAAAGGTACCCAATGAGTTAACCCACAGCTCGTGGTTTCAAATTGTCGACAAATGAACAGTCAATTAATAACTGTAGTCAGTGATATCTAGAATACCCAATATACGGATCAATATCAGTACTCGTTCACGTACATTCCATTTGGCGTACTCGAGAGATACTCTCACGCCAAGTTTTTATGCAATATCATTTCCCCGTGCGAGCAACTGAAAATAGAAAAAAAACTGCATCATTCTACAGCAGCACCATCGCAGATGATTAGCCTGTTAATTATACCGGACGCTTCGTGACTTCCGTCTCATGAGCTCCATATTTCGAAATTCGCGGTTCACTATTTTTGGCGTCCTCAATAGATTTTCCACCCCTACATAAACTATGCATGTCTTAAACCAGTATCTCTTCCGCTTTATGAGCCAAAAGCAACCCTCATTTGTTTTTGAAGATAAACCTGTTTATTCAACGGTTGCCCATCCTGAGATTTGGTTGTTTGATTTTGTAGATAGTGCAGGTCATAAGGAGAAATTAGGAAACACGTCACTATTTACAGTGCGATTGTGGTAATAAAACGGATTTCCGGAAAAAGGGCGAGAAACCCATCAAATTCTTTATCATTTTTCTTTTCATTGGTCCTAAGCATTGGTGGGCACAATTATTCAGTCCTGAAAAATAGATTGGTAAATTTGTTCAATTGACCCTGGTCACATATGAAAGAGAACGATTCTTTTGTTTTCTGACCATCCCCAACCAAGGGAATGTTTATTATTTTTTTTTTTTTCAGTTTTACCGTCAACCCCAAGGAATGTCCACGCGACCTTCGTTAACCAAAGCGCACTAGGGTTACAATGGCAGCCCCCTCAAGTAACTGGTGATCAGACCAAAGTATGGTACGACGTCTACTGCCGTAAGCCATGCGATAGTGATGACAATAGTAATTGTGTGGATAAAGCTTGTGGGAATGACGTCATTTACAAACCATCTCAGGTGAAATTGATCGCAGCTCAAGTCATTGTCGCTAACCTTTCTTCCTTTATAAACTACACAATCAAAATCTACGCTAGGAATAGAGTGAGCGAGGTTGCTGAAAGTAAACATGGAGTTGAAGGAGAATTCGAGACAATCACCGTAAGGACGAATGGATCGGGTGAGTAAGTTTCTTTACGAAGTATCAGTCGAAAGAAAGCCCGATGAATCTGACTGAAACTGAGTTTACCTATGTTTATATATCTTGACGTAACAATCTTGTGAATATTTGTTTCCATGAAAATAAACAGTGCCGTTAACTGTAGTTTGCCTACGTTTTCAACATCTTTCTAATATTTTATTGTTATTCTATTTGTACTTGTTCCAGAATTCCAAGAAATATTTACATTCGATTGTATTCGATATGATTTCGTTTAATTTGATAACGTAGTCCCTGCATTATTTGTTGAGAGGTAGAAGAGAGGTACGCTCTAGTTCCCGTTACGTATGGTAGCAGCTGTATGAAAAATTGAAGTTTTTCATTAATCTTTGACTGACAAACTAGTCCCAGGTATGCCAGAAGTGTCTGTTGAACAACCGGATAAAGCTGTTGTTGTATCTTGGATACTGAAGAGAAAAAATGGAGTTATTAGGGAGTACCACGTGACGTACATAAATACGAATGATTCGTCAGAAACCAAGAGTCGTCAGACGAAAAGAACGGAAATACAGTTTGATTTAAAGGCAGGAAACACTTATAAATTCGAGGTAGGTCTTCTTTTTACCATTTTACCAACCTAACCCGTCGAAAAAAGAAAAAGGTGAAATTGATCAAAGAATTAGTACTATTGAAAAAGGAAGTGGGTTTCAAGTAGCTTGGGAAAATACCGTAGCCTGGTTTTTAATGGCGGAAACTAACCTGTGATATCTTCGAGTTTATAGTGAGACAAATATTGTTAAGAATTATTTTACATTATTGGGGAACGTATTTTAGGAATAAACGACATGACTTGATTAAAAAGTTGGTCTGAATAATGCCATGCACGATCGACTCGTTGAATGGTCTAAATTCAGCAACAGAGATCACCCCGCTTTTTCTTGTAGATTAAGTATATGCCGTTTGGAAAATTGTTTAAAGCAACCTTCAAATAAATCATTCATTTGTCTATTTCCTTCTCAGGTATCTGCTGTAAACGACAACGGAAAGGGACAGGCTGGCGTGAAGATCTTTACATTGAGAAACGGTTGGTAAATTACTGTTTAATCGAATTAATAATACCTACTTATCTCACTTATCTTACCCTCTCAGTTAGACCCTACCAGCCTTGATATCTTTCCTCCAGGCATTATTGTGACTTCAGCGCAAAATGAAATCAGCCAAAAGGAAAACGCTGCATTTCCAAATTTGTTTACCGTGCATTGCGGCAAAATGACACCAACATAGCTGCAACTAAGGCTGAAGAAATTATAACTGGAATTCAGGAGAACTTGACAGAAAGATAAATTGAAAGAGGAAGTAAAGCCGGAATTAGAAAAATGATTAGTTATAAAGTAACTCTAATTGGAGGTATTTGCTTGTGAAAGTTCTCTCGTATCTTCTGCACTGATAATTTTACCGAGTAATTGAGAGATTAATCGATTGATTTTTTGATTGAATGGCCACAGATAACTCGAAGAAATTGCGGCTAATTGCTTACGCAGCCGGAGGAGCAGGAGCACTGCTACTTATCATACTGATAGTGGTCATTGTTGCCTGCGTTGTGTCTCGTAGAAGGTGAGTCTTTCCAAAATGAGGTATTTTGAAAATTACCTTGAGATCTGGTCTTCCATTCGGTGAAATGGGAGCTATCATCCCCCTTTCTATCTTAAGTATGATACAATATATTTATCTGTGTTTAACTAGGAGAAGTAAAAAGAGTGTAGAGAAAGCCTATATGGAAGCCCTTCAGCTAGGTAAGACTATTCGGTAATAGTATAAATCTACTGGCGTTCTATCACAAATGCTGCATTCTGATTGGCTACATTAGTTATTACTTGTTACTCGATAGACAGTTATTAAAGTGAAAACCTCAACAGAGTGTGGCTGTAAATACAATGAAATAAAAGCATGAGCCTTTCCTTTGGATCAGAATTGAACGACTAGCAAATTTACGAAAAAACAAACATTCGCTTTCGATTTCTGTGCGTGAGACTGGGTTCTGGCTCAGCCCTCGTCAACTATGACACAATGGGAATCTCGGGCTTATTATCTTGTTAATGTTTCTATTTTCTTTGGAGAATTATCGTTTTAATATTTTCACACTAGTGATTTAAATAATGTCTGCATTTTCTCGTGATATGATTTACACTCGACCAATTAGCCTTTGTGCATCTTTCTAACCACCTGAGCAATTACAAATTTCAATTACGTTTGATATTTCATGATTTTCCGTTCTCTTCTCTTTCGCTACGTACTACTACTCTAGCGAAGTCACTTATACAAATGGAATTGTGCAGTTATGATTTAATCTAGGGAAATGTGCAGTGACAGCAAACCAATGACAATTTTGAGCACTGTTTGTCATTTATGCACAGAAACGGCGCTTCTTCCTTGGTGAAATACCATAATTAATATGTTTAAAGGCGTGACGAAAGTTAATATTTCTTGAAACTTTCCACCATTAGGAAGTGAACTTCAAACTACAAATCCCCGAGACCAGAGAACTTATATCGATCCAAACGACTACAGTGACGTGCAAGAACTTTTGACATCATTTACGACTGAACTTAAAAGAAGCGACATTAAACTCGAAGGAGTTATCGGACAAGGTAGATGTTTTACTTTTTGTGTATATAAATCCTTATGAGGTTATGTGTGTTCATCGTTGCAATTGGAAAATATATATTATACATATATATATATATATATATATATATATTATATATATAGTTCAAATTTCCCACAATTATATACATATATATATATATATATATTGTGCGAGGAAAAAGACAAATAAACTACAAGTTCATCCTTACAGGCCTGTTTCGTGGTTTCCCCCTCATCAGGGAAAATCCCCTGATGAGTGGGCAACCACGAAACAGGCCTGTAGGGATGAACTTGTAGTTTATTTGTCTTTTTCCTTTTTTCCTCCCAAAATATATACATCGCTCTACTCCTATGTATTGAGCACTGTTTTACGAAAGTCAAAATTTTTCACTTTATATATATTTATATATGCATATATATCTTTTGTTTTCTCATCAAAAAGGTGATGAACGGTGCATGTATGTTGCACATCAAAGGAACAATATCTCTTTTGTAATCGTGTGAGAGTCGCTGTACATATTAACATTGTCTTACACCAGCCTTTGCGCGGTGCCATCGACAATAGTAATCAATAACATCAATAATAACATTTTTGTACGTACCTTTGTTTCGGGAGTCATTCATCACCCGAACTACTATTCCCCAAATCTGTTGAGCCACGTCGAAAGAAAATGTGTAGCTTGTAAACTCAAAGCTGCAACCTCATGGCTACATAAAAGCATTTTAACTGTGGAATATCAGAAGATGTCCATTCCAGTAAGGTCACAAAACAAGAACAAAGCTAAATAATAAAGCAATTCCTCGTGATTTCGTCGAGGCAACGTGGAATCACAAAATGAATATATTTTGTGGAATGTGAACAACAACGACGGAGTATGCTTTCTGTTTATGCTCGACATACCTGGTACTTGACGCATAGGAAGCCGTTAGAAATTGAAATCTCAAGCAAATCATGAGAATTTCAATATATATGTACATACATACATATATATATATAACTTTTTAGTTATATTTAGCGCCATCTTTGGTGTCATAGGACTGTTTAATTATAGCCGTTAAAGTCAAACATAACTGTGAAAAAGTAGGTCTGACCGTATGAATACCATCTCATCGAGAAATGGCTAGAAGAATAGTGCAATTTGTCCATTTCTGATGTACAACGGTACGACTTAGAGTAGAACTGTTCGATGCGTACATCTGGAAGATTTTACCACTAAATGCTACTTTTATCAAATTTTTGTTTTGTGATTATTATTATTATTATTGAAAGATGCAACAAAACCTTTGTGAATTTTCCAAGTAACTGCGTAGTCCTATGTCGTTCATCGTCAAGTTATTTCGAACAATGATTATTGTTATAGACTTCCACTTAACAAAACGAGCGCTGTGATTGCTTGATTCTTGGTCACGTGCTTCTGATCAAATTCAAATGTATCCCGACCAATCCCGACCTGGATACAGTTGCGCAGTTGTTGCCTGCGTGCCGAATACAACAGCATGTTTTTGCTAAATGATTTTTTAAGGGAAAGTCTAAATATATAAAAAAGCACTGAAGGTACAGGCCCCTGGGGAAACAAGTTAGTTTTGTTTTCCCTCGAGTCCTGATGTTTCCCTCCCCTTCGTCTCGGGAAATATCAGGACTCGAGGGAAAACAAAACTTACTGTTTCCCTCGGGACCACACAGGAAGCGTATATTGATTCATAATCTATGCAATCAGACACGTATTTAGCCGGAAAACTTGTCTAACTGACCACAGTTGAATCGTTCTCCCTTTTTTTCACCTTCATTAATTCGATCTACATAATGTATCTGAATAAATGGGCACTTGAAGCGAAAAAATTTTGCGAAGGTGAAACAAATACTTTGGAACTCTTGACAGCAGCTATTGTACTTTCCTTATGATAAATTGTTCCTTTAATTTCTTCTATCAACACCTTTTTGATAAGAATAGAAAACCTCTATATATTTGACATATATTTTCAAATGGCAACGTTTTTGAAAACGGTGTATGTATGTATATATATATTATTGTCACACATATATTCGCTTTCAATTGGTCTCTTCTTTTTTAGGGGAGTTTGCGGATGTCTACAGAGGAATATTAAAGTCTCGTGAAGGCAAAGGAGTGGTTGCTGTCAAAGTCTTGAGGGTAAGTTGTGTCATACTTTCTTCGATGATATATATGCTGTACAGCTTGAATCTTTTTAACTCAATACATTTTTCGCAGATACGCGTGGCTTTGCATTCGTTACTTCATTTTCTCAAGTGAAATACTTCATCCTATCATAGATAGCGCTATGTTGCTGAATCAATGATCATTTTTTCTCCATCCCAGCCTGGTTCCAGTGAGAAAAATCAGAAAGATTTTCTCTCCGAGGCGTCCCTAATGGGCCAGTTTGATCATTCAAATGTTATCCGCCTCATCGGAGTGGTGACAAGAAGTGAGTGGAGAACTGATTAATCTGTATTAGAGACTCGACAATGAAATCACGAGGGTATTTAGTTACTTAAAAAATTGAAATATGCTGTCATTTATATTGACACAAAATTTTAAAGTTGAATTATTTGCTATGCCCTTAGGTAGACCAATGATGATTTTAACAGAATTCCTGAAAAGTGGATCATTGGATCACTATTTAAAGGTTCCCTTTTAACATCTGTTTTTTCAGTTATATTTTTGAAAAAGGAGCTGGTATTTGACCTCGCTTGGTGAAGGTTAAGAATTCTCTCCTAACAAAGACAACGACAACAATAAAACACTACTCAAACTTAATCAAAAGACCGAAGAAGCAAATTTTGATTGGGTGACCAGCGCTCGTAACTACGAGTAACTACTCATATTGTGCCAGGCACCTTTTGGGGCAGTAATTGTAGTGTTTTTAAAGTAGTGTCCATCATTCGCTTTGACTAAACCCTTCACGTCCTCTCATCTGCATGTTTGTTCTCCATACTGCTCCTTTTACTTTTCTTATGGTACTGACAAGGAGAATTTGTTTAACAATCAAGAGGCTTTTTAGTTTGTGATAATTTTCCATATTCTCGTGGTCTTAATGTTTGATTCAGCAGCAACGCTGTAAAGAGAAATTAGATCCCAGTTACCTCAGGAGTTAAAATATCTAACGGTGCCGAATATTCTGGTTTCCTCATAGGACCGAAAGGGTCAGCTGACGAGCCTTCAGTTGACTGGAATGGCCAGAGGCGTGGCTCACGGAATGAAGTACCTTTCAGAATTAAACTTCATTCATCGGGTATATATGTATCTTTATACATTGTTTTCATTGTATCGTTCCTTAATTTGGTTAATATGAATTTTACACATCTGGCCCCAGTTGTATAACGCTATACGTCGGATAAATCTCTATCCGCTGGGTAGCGTTACCCGCCAGTTCTACAACTGGGCCCTGAATGTCAACATTGGTACACAAACTACGAGGTCGTTCGTCCACTGTTTCCAGGTGGGTTTGGAATTTAGAATTAAGTGATTTATTTGGAGAAAAAAACATAAACCTGGAGAGTGACACTTTCGTGGCCAAGAAGATAACCAACCAAAAATTCAATTCTCATGAGACATCAGTTGCAGAAGGAAACGCGCGCCACAGAAGTGTGAGGTCAGCGATCTTCGTGCCTCACAGAATTCTTAGTTAGCCTCAGTTTCAGTGGGATAATCTCCATGTAAAAGTGACGATTTTAACGTAAAGGAGGGCGTTGTTCTTCAAGATCTAAACGCATTTTGGCTTATTCTGCATTTCAGTGTTTTGAATTTAGCTGTTACAGTTATAGCTTAAAACTGATTGAGTACCGAGAAGTTGTAATTATGTTTGTCTTTACTTAGGATCTGGCTGCTCGCAATGTTCTTGTGGGCGAAAACATGCTGTGCAAAGTATCAGATTTTGGTCTTTCAAGAGAACTGGCTGAAGACGATGAGGCACAAGCTGAATACACGACACAGGTAAATGTTGACTTTTTGAAAATCAACAATGACGTTAGGTTGCGCGCTACCATTTGCGATTAATGTGACGCATTATGTCAGTATGACAGTAGAGGTCACGTGTTTCCTATTTCACAGTCTTACCTTTCTTTTGAGTGATTCACGTCACCCAGTGAAGCAGGCACTGTTTCATGCTCTTTCTTGTTTTCTTTCTGTTCGAATGAAAGACTTAGTCCCCTGAGATCAAAATTTTCGTATTTCATTTTTCACATGTTCGGGTACATTGTGACTCTCTTACCTACCCAGCCAAATTTCAGTTCGTTACGAGAGAAAGATTTCGCGGCCGCCATTATTTGATCATGTTTCGGAAGTTCATCTGAAGGCTAGGTGCGATTTCAAAGAAAGTGACCCACAACGTGAGGTCCCAGTTTGTTCCCATTAATCAAGTGTCCTGCTGATCTTTAAGTATCTTTTCCAACACCATTAGTAGAGGCCGGTACTGAGCGAAGGTATAGATTTTTAGCGAAGAAACCATGTGACTTGCATCCTTTACAAATGCTTGCCTTTGTTTCAATTACCCGAAAGGGGGGTAAGATTCCAGTCCGTTGGACAGCCCCGGAAGCGCTTCAGCATCGAACCTTCAGTTCAGCTAGTGATGTTTGGAGTTTTGGCATTCTAATGTGGGAAATCACGTCATATTGTGACAGACCTTACTGGAATTGGGACAACTTCGATGTAAGTGATACCGCGAGATAACGAACATTATCATGAACTTCTTAGAAAAGAGAGTTAATTGGTTCATAACAGCGGCAAGATTTCATTTACGAGAATTTCAACTTGTGATAAAGATGATTTGTCTCTTTTCCTAGAATTTTTAAATGAAAAGTTTCTTTTAAAGCTGGGGTTTATTATTATAAAGGGGCAAATATTGATGCCATCGGATATCAATATTTCCTGAGCCTCACCGACTAATTTCTTTAATTATTTGATTTTTTCTAAATAATTAAGTTGAAGAAATCATGATCGAAGGTTTTTCTTTATGAATTTATGAATGAATTACCAATGTAAATTTGTAAATTAAACTTTATTAATTAAAACTTTTCATAATTTTTCACAAGGTTATCAGGCGAGTGGAAGCTGGATACAGATTACCACCTCCACAGGTAAATCTTGCAATAACAAACATGTGACCGCTGAATGACTTCTCCTTTGCGTTTCTGCTGTTGATGTCTTGTTCTTAAACCGAGGTGTCGTGATGGTGAAACACCACAGCAAGCCAGAACAATTAAGAAAAGTTGCATCACTCATGACCAAGACTTAAAAATCAAGAAATAAAAACATTACTTGAACGCTTATTTATAATACTTTAGGAAGGTTATTTTGAGCTTTCTCGTCGTTAGAGACCATTTTTTGGTTGTGTCAAAATAATATTTACCTGAACCTCCTATAACGATTAGTAGGATTCTAATGAACCCCCTTATTGGCAATCAATATGCTATGGTCCGTTCTTTAAACACTGTTACAGACGATCCCCACTCCGTTCCCCATTAAAACCCGTCTTCTCTTAGTATTAAATGTTGGCTACTCTCTAAAACAATTGAAAATACAATCCTATAAAGAGTTTAGGTGAAAACTCTTTAGGGGATCTTAAAATATTTCAGATTTATAAATTATTTCTATTTAAAATTCATCCTTATATAACTTTTCTCTTTGTACAGGGATGTCCGAAAATCATTCATAGTTTAATGATCGAATGCTGGCATAAAGACAAAACCAAACGGCCCAATTTTTCTGACATTGTCACCCGCCTGGATGAACTAATTCGATCCCCAGAATTCCTGAAGGGTGATTCATCCTCTCTCCCAGAGAGGTAAGTTTCCATCTTATTATAACAGAATGTGTTTTTCCCTCAAGGAAAGTAGCCAAGGATCATTGATAAAGATCATTTTCTCCCATTTGTTTTTTTTTGTCTTTTTTTATGTCATCTACGAATGTAACTTTCACTTCTCCCTGATTTCTTACTTTTCTACATCTCTCCATCAACCTTCTTAACAAAGAAAAAAAAGAAGGCCTTGAAGTTCTTCCAAATTGTCCTCCCTTGATTTACGTTAAGCAGACTACAGAGCAGTTGAACATGTCGTATCTTCACCAGTTGCATTCGGATTCATCCAGGGTATTTAAATTTAGGTGGCGGACCCGGAGGACGCAGAAAGATCCTACGTTACAAAAAATGAATTGAAGTGAAAAAGCTCAGACAAAAGGGAAATTCAAGGCATTTTTAGTCCTTAGTTAAAAACGCTCCCTTAAAAAATCGTTAATAATTTATTTATACATTATTCCAGTCCTAAAGCAAATCATACTCCAGAATTCCAGTCAGTAGATGAGTGGCTACAACACATCAACATGGAGAAGTACTCCGAATTGTTCCGAGCAGCACGAATCGATGATATGAACAAAGTCGCTGGACTGAAGGAAAAACAATTGAGAGAAATGGGCATCAGTTTGATTGGGCATAGGAATAAAATGCAAAAGAGTATCAATGCTATGCAGTCACAACATTATAACGGTGGCATGGATGCAGATTAGTGGCTATGATGTAATCAAGAAAATGCAATTTCTGGAACATTTTCTGCTTGAAATTGAGTTGGTGATCAATAAGCAGCAGATAATTTTTACCATTTTACGAAGGAATGTCGTCAAATGTCTTGAATGTTCTAGGGGACCGGTGAATATTTTAACGCCTGGGTGGGGAGCCTCAGGCTATGTCGTATTCTAATTACCCCCCCCCCCCCCTCAGCGGCGACTAATCTCCCCTTCTTACCCCTGAAAACCATGCGATTCTCCCCAAAAGCCTCCAAACCCCCACCACCCCCCTCCTCCCCAGGCGATAAACAATGACTGGTCACTTAGATTTACTAGTTCAAAGTTGTCGTACCATATTTCCTTATGTTTTGGAAATAGAGAGTCGTTAACTGCCTTTAATTCTATTAGATTAACCGGTTAAAAATTTCCAATGATCTTTCCTTATGTTATGGAAGGAGAGAACTCGTTTTATTTTAATCATTACACGAGCTATTCGAACTCTGACCAAGGTTGTCATTCACGAGGAAATAGTGATGGTCCACGGGGCAAATACTGCTACATTTTTACACTCAAGTGCGACAGCTCAAACAACAGATATGACTTTGGAACTTGGGGATCAAAATTTTCTCTCCAGTACAGAGAATTTAATTTTTTATATTGCCTAGGTACATATTTTACTTTTGAGAAGACAATGCGTGATTTTGATATTCGTGTGTGAGTCTTTTTTCACGAAATTTAAGACGTTTTCGGTATTTTACAAGAACTTTCGTATGCATTTTATAATTTTTAAGTGAATTACTCCATCACAGAAGGATTAATTACTTGACTATTTCAACAATTTTATTTGTTGATATATTTTTTACTCCATGGACAGTTTCATTATTTTAAATTATATCAATAATCTATTTTGGAATGATATTATATTTGGAAACAATTTTCTTGAACTGAAGGAAAGAATAAAGCAAATACAGCAGCAAATTTCTGGTTTAAACTCTGTTTGAAGAAACCGTTCGAAAGGATCTGGGCTCGTATTTTACAATCCAAAGTGGAAATTAAGGTACATGAAGGAAAGTCTTTTTTTCTGGTTGATGTAAAGCTTGTTTATTCAAATTACGCAAGTTTATCATAGCCAATTCAGAAAACTATGTTCATTACTGTAACAAGGTTGTTTTTTAAATACAATTGCGACTGTGTGACTATTACACGCTGGGGAAGCTTAACCTGGCATTGCGTCACCATTTCTTTCAGCGAGTCTGCTAGGTAAATTTAAAATTTGTCACGAACAACTAATAAATCAGAATCAATATATATTTCTCGCACAATTCCTTGGTTGTGACGTTTCTAATACCCTCCCTGATGTAATCTTCGGTGAAATAATTCTAGTCTAACTCTGCCGATATTAGGCAGGGAGCAAAAATGAGTGCCTGATGAATAGGAGGGTTAACTTGAGGGGTAACTTGCTGTGCACAAAGATGTCCTCCAGCAGGATTGTTAATACTCCTTGTCACTTCATGCTTAATATATCGTGATGAGCTGTGGCAGCTTAGGGTACTTGGCTTGTAAAATGTAAGCTTTCTTTCCAACAGAGTTCCCTCACAATATCATTCCGTTTTATCATTATCATTCCATTCCAGCTCTTGGAGACTGCGTCTCAATTACCTTTAATATTAAGTTTCCTACGTACTTGGTACAGTTTTACTTGCAAGTCTGTGGTATAATTTTGGAGTTCATGAGCGAGTGATAATATACATTGCCGCAGATCGACGCTATCACGGGCTCAAATAAGAAATTTCCTCCTTTAACGCATAGTATGTCTTGTATTTATCGTGGGCAAACTGGCCGTAAGCCCCGATGTATGGGCTCCTCTAACGACTAGGGCTATTGGCTATTTGTAAATCGTAAGTACTATTCCGATTTCTGCACTTAATCAGTAATGGTTTGTATCAGTCAAAACAACTGCGTGTAGACTAGAGCCAGGAATATAATTCTAATTGGTATGAGATTTTTCGCTTTCTTCGTTTAGATGAAAGTGAAAGTCCCTTTCGTACATAAGTACAGCATAACCATGGGAATCTTTGATTAAGTTTGTTCAATCGGTAACTTTGCATAAGGGCAAATTTCAGTCTTCTGATCAGAAGAGCGTTTCGATAAATTTTCCTACGGAATGTGATTACATATGCACTATTAGACCTAAGCTTATTATGAACTTAATTGCTTGCAAACTGAATGAGGAAGTGTGGAATCCCAAGGAAACAACGGTTATTGACAAAAGTAGCGCCTGGCCGTTGTAATACGATACCTAAACGTCGACAGTTAGGAAAATATTACGGGCTTCAACATTGTGTATGCGTAGGACTTGCCATCGCGCAAAAGCTGTTAACACGGTTCAGTGGTCATATGCAAGTTCGGGTAACAATCATTAATAAACGAATGGTGATGATTTATAGAAAACCGACGTGGCTTGAGAATTTAAGGTTATACAACACTGTCGTATTTTCTCTCAGACTCAACCAAGGATTGCTATTAATAAATCTAGTTCTTAATTCGTTGACCAGCAACAGATTTGTATCACCATGATCATATTTCGAACCAAACGTGACAACATCCTTGTTGATGTTGAAAATTCTATTTCAATCATCGCTACTAAATCATCGTTGCTAATTAAATCGTCGCTGCCAGATAATCGCTACAAGCTATTTGCCATCGTTAGGAGCTATATCAAAGTCTTTATTTCTTTTACATTTACGTTGTTTAAATTTTGTTTTTATTATTGGTGTAGTTAACGTATTCAGTTTTCCGTGCAATCGCCTCATTTTCAATTAGGTTAATGTTACATTTCGCAACTCATTTTTCTTAGTTTTGTTTCTGTTGTATTTTCTTTTAGTTCGAACCACACGCAACCTCAACCGCTACTCTCATCAAGCAAATTAACTTCTTAGTGCTATCATCTAAAATTAATAAAGCTTACTGTGTGCGTTTGAATTGTCCGCTCAGTCACTTAGGTAACCTTTTGAGGTTACAACCTTGAGCAAGGCTTTTACTCTGTGTCCTCTGAGAAGCCAAGCATGCATATCGAAGGGTAATCACAAATTTACTTTTACACGAGCACTTTAGAAGTTTCACAACGACCTGACAGCCATTCAATAAAGTATAGGACTCTTAGAAAGTCTTGCCTGCATTCTGACTGTCATTTTAAGTGTCCGGATTGGCGGAACTGATGAGATTGCTTCACGGATTCCGTTCACGAGCACACCTAACGGGAACAGGAAACAACAGAAATTATAAAATAATTCAAATAGTACGCGCGCTCTGATTGACCATAAAACCATTTTACATGAGCGTATGTAAACACGGTTTTCGTTTCTCTTTCATTAGTTATTTTATAAAAGAAATGTAAAATGGTTTCCGTGTTTACATAGCCTGATGTAAACACGGAAACCTTTTTACATTTCTTCATCCACAAACACCAATTCAAAGCCTTGGCTGTGCTCAGTTCTATTGTAAAGTACTTAGGAAGCGCCTAGAGTACTCAAAAAGTGGAGAGAAACGCTCGATGTCTCTATTTGTTTTATAATAAAGAATCCGTTTAATTCCCCAATTTTCAAAACAAATTTTATTTTCAAAGTGAACAACAGTGTAGTCAGCATGCTCTCGTAAAACACATCACAATGAGCCAATCAGAATCTTTGATAAATTGGTTCAAATAATCTAATTGGTTGAACAAGACTACAGCTGTCAAAAATGTCAAACTATCAAAGCTCACAAACCGTCAAAGTTCGCAATTTGCAATAGTTTACAAAAATGAAATACTTCGGCGCGGCAGATTGAATTTAACATTTTTGCCTGAAGTTTTCAAGTCTCTAATATAGAATCTGAAAGTAAAATACTCCTTGAAATCCGGACAAGTTGAAGCTCATAAACACACGCGGTTTTTTTCGCGTGGCAATTAGAAAACAAACTGCTCAAGTCGGTGTTTTATCTCAGCGGTGTTTTATTAATGAACGACGGTCGAATTCACAGGAACATATAGATTGCTCCGCGCGGTGACTGCGCCGTGCTGCTGAGACTGATGTGGCCTTCCACTCCACGCATTGGAAGGATATCAGAGTAAGCTGTCAGTTGTTTACTCGAAGGGCGGTTGATGTAATTCCTGACGCTTGCTTCACAGCGATGACCGGAGATCGCTATGATAAGCCAGCTGCGATGGACCTCAGCATGATCGCAGTCGCTCTGACACCGTCATGATTAGTATTAATTTTAACAGTTATGCCAGTTTGGCTATATTTGTCATAATTCGGTCTTTTTCTTTTGTTTTTGAACACGAAACTATGCATACTGTACGAGTGTACAATTGGCTCCAATTGCTCTTGCATACGGCGGAGAAAAGAAAAGGGGAAAAAAACTTAGACAGAAGCAGAAGTGACTTAAGAGAAAGCAACATGAATGTTTGTCACACCACCAGTGTGATAGTCGAGTTTTGTTACGGGCACCTGTTTTGACAAGCATGTCAGCAGGGCTCTTCCATGATGCTAACAAGACCCTAACAGTAAGCAAGCTGATACAGGAAATTTGCATTTGTCTGACGAAAGTTTTTCAATTTATCATCACTTTTCGAAAAATCTTTTGTATAATTTCGATCAATCTGCAATGCGCTGTATAGCAATCAACCATGCACAGTAATGTAATAGGTACTTGGAAGACTTTATAAGTAGATGTACATCAAGAATCAAACATCCTACAAAGGCACACAGCGATGCAAGCCTTTCAGCTAAGTCTCTTACATGCACCCAGTGCTTGCAGTGATCATTTATTTTTTTCAATTTTTGGGGTAACGTATTGAGAAGGATTATTTTCAAATATAAGTTCCGTTATCCTGGAAAGGGGACGGGGGAGGGGGGGAGGGGTTAAGAAACAAGCTGCTGGGATAATGCATTTGATATCTTGATTCAACGACAGGTCAATGTTCATCATATGCTGTATGGATCATTTTTTGGTCACAGTTTCAATTCTTCTACTTTTTGTGACCCTTTCATCCTCTGGTGAAGGTATGTGGGATCAATAAGAGGGTTGTAATGAGGTGATGGATTTTACGGCTAAAAGTTAAAATTTTGGCCGGTCTACGGCTAGCAGTTGATCTTTTTTTCCGTTTTGGTGAAATTAAGAAGTTTACGTGAACTTTTGTTTACAACTTATGGTCAAAATTAGTCCATTTTTACGGCTATCGGCTGAAGTTTTTGGCCGTTTCACGGCTAACGGCTAACCACGTCAGACCTTTAATAAAGTTTGATACTTTTTTTCTTGAGCCACGTTACTCTAGTCCTTTCCTATTTAATAAGGGCTACTGTCAGCAATAATTGTCTGAAAAAGAAAATTAACCGTTTTTCCAAACAGTAAACGTATATCATTATTCGTTAATGTCCGTGAGATAACGTTATCTGAAAGGAACTGTTGTTTAAGTGGTTCTCTCTTTGTATCACACGTGCTCACGAGGAAGTTACATATGTAACAGTCAGTAGTAATGAAAAGGGAATGCATTTACCACATGGATTAACGTGACTATGCGAATTGTCCTTCTTTCTTCACACAGTGTTCATTTTTGTCAGAGAAGAAAGCTGTCATATTTATACAACTTCATTACTAACCTTTCAACATATTTCTCTGTAGTGATTTTAGAGGAACAGCCAACACAAAGTAAGAACTGGTTCTGGGCAACATCAAGGCCAACTAATCCAACCTTTACGCCGTCGCAGTCCGGTGGGCCGAGCGGGGTATGATTACATCTTTCAACTGTTGTTTTCGCTTGGTGATTAGAATCAAAAATCGAATGACAAAGAGAATTGTCACCTTTCACTGAAAAAGTACTTATCAAGGTTTGGGGAAATGTGCTGTCTTCAGTTTTGATTGTGCTTCACAATGCGACAGAAAATGAAGGAGTGTTTCTCAAATACCAATCATTCAAATCAGTTTATTTTTGGTTTAGATTGGATGCTCCGGCTGTCTCTAGATCGCAGGGAAAATCTCTGATCGGGCCTCGTCTGGGTTTAATTCATATTCTTCAATACTCTTTGAATATTTTTTACATCTATTATTTTAAAGTGAAGATTAATTTTACATGGATCTTACGCACTCTTATCCTTTAAATAAATACCGAAACGAAGTTTCGGTATTTATTTAAAGAAAATTACACGATCTATCACAACATTTTATTTTCTTTTTCTTTTTCCCCTTTCTATTCAAAAATTATCTTCTTAAGCTGAAAATTATCAAGAAGGAATGGTAGCTGCAGAATTTTCCCGTGAAAGGTTGTCTTCGTTGAGAGGATTTTTACTCTTGTTTGGCCATATGTTTACGTTACTCACTGAAGCTGGAAGTTAAAACATGGATGTTTATCATCAAACCCCCCAAAAACACCAAAAACACAGTGCCATAATTAGTGAGATCAAGTTTGCCTTGGTTACAATCGAAAACAGCTCTTTCTTTTCAAATGGATAAAACCTAATAACCTCCTGATATATTATTTCAACTGATTAATAGTGGTCGAAGCAGACATATTATTCAACCTGTGATATTTCTGAGGATGCATACCCACAACCAAACAACTGGCTTAGAAGTGATCCTATTGAGGTCCACAGTGGAGTGACAGCAGTCTACATTACTATCGAGTACCAAACTTTTAACTGTTCTCTGAGAAATGGAGGGAAATATTGTAAAGAGTATTTTGACTTATACGTACATCAGTCCGGGCAATCAACGCAACCGGACCCCCTAACAAACAGTATTACTTATGACAAGATTGCTAGAACAGCTCCGTCAGCTCTTGGCACCGGAGTGTCTCAAACGTTTAGTGTAAATGTTAAAGGAAAGTACATCGTATTGGCTTTTCAAGACCAGGGTTCATGTAGTATCCTTTTCTACGTCGCTGTTAAATATTACTTCTGTCCAGAGACAGTTCATGTTGGTGGTTTGGTGAACTTACCACGTACAATTGCTCCAGCAAACAACTCGGAACCAGTTGTAGGTAGTTGTATTAAAAATGCCGTCCACGAGCAAGGTATTTTAAAGATGAACTGCCAAAGTGATGGGGGCTGGAACATCAGTTCACTTAAAGGAAATTGTATATGCAAAGAAGACAAGGAGAATGTAGGAGGAGAATGCAAAGGTATGTATAACTACAGTAACATAGAAGTGCAGTGCTGAATAATTCTTCAGGCTGGCAACATGATTAGACAAAAAGATGATTGATTTTTCGCTCGGGAATGAAATAGAGTATCAAGAATAAAAATCAGCAAAAATCAATTGAAATGACTTTCCAATGATTCGTTCATCATTTTTCAAATTCTAAAAGTCAGATTCCGATGAGTCTTTTTGATACTGAGAAAGCGTATAAAAGTCTCGTCTCGTTGCATGTGGTTAAAAACTCTACGATGTGGAGTGTTAGTTGAGTACTAATAGTTTTTCCTTAATTGAGTCAGATTGAGCGTTCAGTTTAGGTTTTTTTCCTTGGATAAAGAGCATTTCTTAAAATAAGCATTCAAATTTCCTACGACATTTCTTAAGGATGGTAAATTGTTCGTGTAGATCTTTGTTCCTCTGATTGTGGGCATTACGCAGGTGTTTTCCAGTAGCTGAGAGCTTATGTTTAACAATATGTTGAAAAAGGTGTCGGCGAGTGAAAAAGAGTATAAGCGTTTTTGCGCCTCGTTACGAGCGTAGGAGAAAGAGGAAATTTGGATTCCCCACGAGAAATCAAATCCCAGACTTTCGGATTTCGCGTCCCGACGCTCTGCGACAGAGACTCTCTAGAGTGAACAAGCTCAGTACTAGTTTCATAGATTATGCGAAACGCGTCCTGCAAAGTGTTAGGGTCAGTAAAGTCGAAAGCGTCAAGTAAAGAAATAGAATAAAAAATATGGTAAACATGAGCCCGGCAAATAGACAAAGTCTAGTAAGGAGACGAAAAAAACCCCTTTCTATATGATTAGACAACTAAAAATATTGGAATGTGTAACCTGAAGACCCCTCGCCTAAATGTTTCAGTTTCATCACTCAAAATCATTGCAAATCTTCGCCATCCCCCAAGCTTTCCTCGTTCCTTTTTGGTCTTTGTCTTCTAATTGAGGTGCTTTTTCTTGAGACCAGCTCTTACTGCAACATAAGCATAAGCATAGGCGTGGGAAGACTCAATTTATTCTTAGCATAAATAATAGAATGATGGAAGCTTTTACTATAAGGAAAGAATCTAATCAACTGATAACTCCGTAGTCAATTAAGAGCATAGGTTTAAAGTAAATGGAGTACGTGAAATCCCGGTTAAAATGAATAGACTCTTTATATTTAGTCGTTAGGAAAGTGACTTGTTGGTGATAAGGATGACTTGTATCATGAATGAAAGCTACGATCGATGGTAATGAGCTTTCTCTCCGTCACTGGTTACTTAGCTCAACTCATTTGTCTTTCGCTGAAAGCGAATAAAAAATTTTCAAATCGACTTTATCAAAATATCTTTTTCATTCCCTTCTTCAGATTGCCCAGAAGGTAAATACAACGACGTGAATGGCTTTAATTGCACAGGTACGGATGCAAATATAGCTTTGTCGTCTGAATGGCATCTGTTCGATTATACATAATTGGCTAAATATTTGTGGTCACAAGCTGTATCCAACTCTTTATATTTATTTTCAGTTATTAGTAAATCACTTTACCATAGATATCTCGAAATTTTGGTTCACATACTATTGATTTTGAAATATTCGTGAGACATTAATCCGTAAATTGTATCTTACATATTTACCATTTCTACTGTTTGAGCATCTGTTGAACAAATATGACGCAATTTTCTGATGTAGCTATACAACAAATCAAAAACACCTAGTGCGTTAGAATGTTTGCTTAAAACTTTTTTTTTAGCAGACTAACATGAAACATTCTAAATATATAGGTGAAGAAGACATGTGTGATGGCTTATTTATTCGGGTGGTCGCTTAGTTTACAAAGTCAATTTTCCTTAAAAATAATAAAGAAAATAGACAATCAAAATAATTCATAAAGTGTGATTCCTGAATAAGTATTGCTTGTATTCCTCTCATAACATATCCTAATGCAGTTATACCATCAGCCCCGAAAAATGTCCGAGTTATCTTCGTTAACCGTAGCGCGTTGGAGTTACAATGGCAGCCTCCTGTAGTGACCGGTGACGAGACCCACGTGTTTTATGACATTGCAATTGACTGCCGAAAGCCTTGTGAAGATGAAGATCACGACAAAAGCGTGAATAAAGTTCGCGGAAGTGACGTCATTTTCATACCAAAAAAGGAAGGCTTGAACGTTACCCACGTTATTGTTGGAAATCTATCTTCATTTGTAGTCTACACTATGAAAATCTCCGCTAAGAACCGAGTGAGCGAATTAGCGAGAAGAAAATATGGAATTGAAGCAAAACTTACGGAAATAACTGTAAGGACCAACGGATCAGGTTAGTGAGTTCGAGGACTGAATAGAATATCACATAAATTCTTATCGATATGTTTCCTATCTCACACTGTGCATAAGTCGAGTCACATACTTGAAATTTACACTTTCGGACTTTTCCAAAAATTTTGATTTAAAACATGGTCTGTATAATGAGGGTTAATAACGTCGTTTTAAAATGTAGATTTTCTCAACTAGCACTTCAATCATTCAGCAGCGATAAAACAATATCAAACATTGTGAGTTTTACTGAAACAAGGCAGCTATACCCAAACCTGCACTTTCTACCACTTTCATTGCTGCTTCATGAGATACGTATGATTTCGTTCTTCCCTCAAGGCCCACTAGAAATCAGGAGTTGCTGGGGTAGTAAAGAATGAGTCAGCTTTTTCTCCCTAAGATCCATTCTAAGAAATTGTCAATGTAGTCAAGTACCATGATCTCTTGGACAACTTTTTTGCAGAGGAACATGTCAAATTGTTTTCAGTTTCGTTTGTTATAAAATGGTCCTGGTCAGTGTCATTTGAGGCTATTGTTATGGAATAATAAGAACAGTCGTGCCAGATCACTATTTTGACAATTTTTGCCAAATTAATTTCCTTTTAATACATATTTCTGGTCAAATCTCGAATGAAAAATCCTCCGAAGTAAGCCCGTTCTATATTATGAAATTAAATTGCCGCAAAAATAAGTAACAATAAGATGATGACCCAAGTTCGTGACGGTGTATAAATCTCTGTTGAAAAACTAGTTCCAGGGAAACCAGAAGTGTTTGTTGAGCAACCGGAAACGGCTGTTGTTGTATCTTGGAGAATTAAGGACAAGAAAGGTGTCTTTAAAGAGTACCACGTGACTTATATAAGAGAGGATGATATGTCAGAAACCCAGACTCTTGTTACCAAGAAAATGGAAGCGAAGTTTGATTTAAAGGCGGGAAAAACTTACGAATTCCAGGTAGACAGAATTTTTTATTTTGGTTTAAATGAGATTAAAATTCTTAAATACAAACATGAAAAGAAAAATGGATAAAAGGTGTAAGTTTCTAAAGAAACTGCGGTGCTGTGTCGGTGGGAGAGTATAACAGAGTAATTAAGTGTTATCAACTGAGTTGAAAACATAAATTGGCCACCGTGAAGAGTTTAAAGGCTAACGCTCGAAACGTCGGCCCTTAAACTCTTTACGGTGGCCCATTCACCTTTTTCAACTCAGTTGATAACATTAAATTACCATGAAAAGAAAAGTTATATCATCCAATTGAGTAATGGAAAGTAGTTATATAAAATTCAGTTCATTTTTCTTTGCAAAAAAAAAAACGGAATTAAGTTTGGGTGCAAGGCCCAGTTGTATGAAGAGTGGATAACGCTATCGAACAGATAAATTGCTATTCAGCGGATAAGTGATAGCAAAACGTATAGCGTTATCCACCGGATAGAGCCGCTGTCCAGTGGATAGCGTTATCCGATCTTCGAACAACCGGGGCCAGATGGTTATCGTCGAGTTAGTCAGTAATATTAAAAGGTTTTCAAAATTAAACAAAAGAAGATTATCTAAAGTAACTTAAACTCAACGTTGTTCATCTTGAAGACCTAATAGTGTTTTGATGTAGTTACGATACTCATCTGTTGTTTTGTGGTTTTAATTGGACGATATTTTGCACCTAAAGTTTAACAACACTCGAAGTAGCCATTTTTTTTGCTCTTGAGGAAGAAATCTCTCAAAATGTTTTATTCTTCTCGTCAGGTATTTGTTATAAACGACTTTGGTAGGGGTCCTGCTGGTGTGAAGACATTCACACTTAGAGAAGGTTAGTTTGAATATCGTTGATTTGCCACGAGGCTACCGTTTCAGAGTGCCTGTGCAGGAAAACGTTAATATAGTCTTTAGAATAATAAACCAACAGGGCCACTGATGAGTCAGGATGACGAGGATAATCAAGTATATTAAAAGAAGAACTTTTCATATACGGCAGAACCGAAAAGTAGTTTCTTGCCTAATTTATTCAGCCTCACTGTAATAAAAGAAGCTTCCTCCCCTTCACCCGACAGAACCCAATGTTGACATGTATCTCACAATCATCTATGGCTTGGTTGGTTCATTGGCACTTTGCATTGTGTCTTTCGCTTGTTACATAATGTACAACAGGTAAGTGTGGGAATACTTATGAAACTAAACATAAGGTGACCATTCCTGTACAGTAACACTCCTCGCAGGATTTCAAGGACTACCATTGGCTAAAAGAATGTTCAACAAGTTTAACAAGTATCAGTAGACTGAGTATTGATGATGATATTACTGACGCGTTTATATTGTGGCTTAAAAGATTGTTGACGCTTTGTTTCTTACAAGCTAAACCTACAAAAAATTCAATTTGATGCTACTGTTTGTCAGATGGAACCGTCGAAGAAATGCAAACCGTGAGAAAATTCCTAAAACAACAAAGACCCGTCTTATGGTTTATGAGGGTAAGTAACAATAGTATGTAATTTTAATAGAAAATACTGGGACTTGGTCATTTGCAGTTTTTAAAGGAAGTAGTACTTTTCAGTTTTGAACTAAATTGATCAGATGATTTAGTGTCACTGTGAGTCATTTGCTGACGTTTCACTTGATATGAAATTGTCGGCGTGTTTAATGCAAATGTCGTATGTTCCATTCAATCTGCTTCGATAGCAAAGACAAAGTCACATTCAGAGAAAAAAAAAACAACAACCAAACGTAGGGAAAAATTGTAAACAATGAGGAAGTCTGCAGATTGCCGTTATTCTATTTTTTCGTAGTTGACTCAAGCACATTAGCGAGTTAAAACTAGGCTGCTTCTGCGGGGACTACAGATTTAATCACCCATCATATTTATTTGGTTTATGTTACTATTGTCAATTGTTATCACTAACAACTTTACATAGATGTCGCAATGAGTTCTGTCGCAGAGCGGCAAAAAGTGGATGACTTCAGACTTGATCGTGATCAAATAACAACAGTAAAAGTGCTTGGGAGTGGGAACTTTGGTCAAGTGTCCAAAGCAGTTTACAAACCTTTAAACTCTGAAGTGGCTGTTAAGTCATTGAAAGGTACCCTTCAGATTTCTAACTCATTGTTATTCAAGCTTACTTAATGACTTTCCACTATTTCATCCGTACAAACTCAAAAATTCATTCTCGTTCAAAACCGAGTAAAAAGGCTATTATAATATTAGGTTGAGAATGTAATATCGTTTTCTTTCAAACTCACGGTAATTGTTGGCATTTGAATCTTTACCAATTTTCTAGGCGATGCCAAAAAGAAAGACTTACAAGACATGCTGACTGAATTAGATCTCATGAAAACCTTGAAGCCTCATCCCCATGTTGTTGACCTCATTGGCTGTTGCATTGAAAAAGGTACTGGAAATTTTGATTGATTTTTATTTCTGATTTCTTGCTGACAGACTAATTTAATAATTCATTTAAAGACTATCTCATTAAATTAACTGATTCAGCACCGTACATACTTCTAGATCCACTTCTCGTAGTGTTGGAGTATTTACCATACGGGGATTTGTTGGGATATCTACGCAAGAGCAGAGGAATTGAGGATACTTATAACACAGGAGAAAAGAGACCAAGCTCAACACTCACAGAAAAGGACCTCTTGTCCTTTGCGTGGATGATTGCCGATGGTATGAGCTATTTGTCAACAATGAAGGTAGAGCATACCACACTTATTCTGTTAAAGCATCTAAAATCTCAGCACACTTTAAGGTCATGTGTGACATGGAAGTAATGTGTTATGCAACATTTACAATGAAACTTTCTGATGTCGTTTTATGAGGAATGGTTTATAATCACCTCCTAGTCTTTTATGCTGTTGTCGTCCTCAAATAGACCGCAGTACCTACTAAAAAAAGTGATATAAAGCAAGCTGCACATGTGCGTCTCTGAAAATATCTCGGAGTATCAAGCTTGTGTTACTGTGTTGTTTCAGATTGTTCATCGTGATTTGGCAGCTCGCAACGTATTAGTTGGGGACAACAAAATATGCAAAATTTCAGATCTTGGTTTAGCGCGTGGTTTGGAGGGAGATATATACACGAGAAAAACTAAGGTGATTAATGCGCCAACGATTCTAATTTTTTCACTTGTTTATTTACTAACTGACGAAAGAGTTGTTTGAAACTTTCAGTTGTCTCTTTTTTGAAATCATATTTGAGCTTTATATGCATGATTATTCTTTTCAAGGCTCGTCTTCCAGCCAAGTGGATGCCCCCAGAATCTCTCTTGTATGGCAGATCTACCACTATGAGCGACATGTAGGTTGTTTCAATTTACCATTGCTGATCATTTTTAGGGAAAATTTAAAAACTGCGCGTTCCGCCAGTAGAAATAAATAGTTGATTAGGAAAAAAAACTTTTACGCTGCACGTGAACAGTACGATCAGGATAGTTTGAGCAGTTTTCAATTTTTTGTTGAGAGTTACTAGGTGTAACTTTGATTTCCTTTTCTTTGTGCTTGGTCCATAAGAGTTACGCCACTTTCTAAACAAAAAGATTGAGAAGCAGAACTAATCGCGACTTTTTAACTCGCGTTTTCCTACGCTTTAGGTAGTTTGCTTGTTTTTTTTCACTTTGAGTTCTCCTGGCTCCATGTGATATGTTTCTTGGCACTGACTGACTGTTATGATTACTTTGTTTTTCGTTTTACGACAGTCATTGAAAACCACCATTCGAAAATAATAATAAAGGTTATTGATAAAAATTGCTTCTGCTTTTTTGTCTTAAACAGATGGTCATACGGCATAGTGATGTGGGAGGTCTTTACCATTGGTATGTGTATAGTTGTGAAGAAGAATTCTAAGGCTACTTAAAACACCGCACCGCGTTGTTTCGCACCGCCTCGCTACCGTCTTGATCTCTGACTGATTTTGCACTTTCTTTTACATCAAGACAAATAATCACTACTGATGCACATAACGACGGAATTGTTTTATCAGTGTTTCCATAAAATCGGCTGGGGCATTATCGCCGCAGTGGGTTCCATATATGATTGTCAGGATTGCGTTTGAAAGTATATAGGTGCAAGGTCATAAAAACATAAATTTATTTAGTATAGTTTATTGAGAAACATCATGATCAGTGGATTCCATTGGCCTGATCGCCTTAGGAACGTTTCGATAGAAAGTGCGCTATATCTCATGAGCAGTGCAGTTTTGTTGTTTTGCGACAATCCAAATGATCATGTGGAAACCAGGGAGCCTCTCATTCGTATATACAAAAAGAAAAAATCGCAGAAAATATTATATGAAAAAGAACTATTTGGGACATTTGCTTCCCTGTTGCAGTAACTAAAGCGGAAGATTTCCAACTAAAGGAGGACTCTCCTGGCTGTATACCAGTGCCAGTCATGGTACCGCAGTGTATGTGTACTTTAACAACTAGTCTGTCATATTTTCAGGTGGATCACCATATCCCGGAGTAAAATCAAGAGAAATAGCTGGCTTACTGCAGACAGGATACCGCATGCCTAAGCCACCTCACATCTCACAAGAACTGTGAGTAGTTTGAAAGCTCTTTCATTAAAAAATTAGTATTTCGACTAACGTCACTCATAATAACTTTGTATTTCACATTTCACTTTCAAACCACAGTGAAAAAGACAAACCGTGAATTGAAGGTATCGTGAGAAAAATATGAATGTCATTCTTCTTTCAGGTATTCCATCATTACCAAATGTTGGGAAGAGCAACCTAAAAGGCGACCAACATTTCTGTGGCTCTGCTCGGCGGTCAAACGATTATTGGATGATTATAAGGTTTGTCTGTCGGTCGTCCTTGAACACGTCCTATCTTGCTTTTTTTTGTTTGTGCTATAAACTACTCAAATTAGAAGAGTTTGGGAGCCACTGAAATGAGAAATGTTCTGTGTGGGAATTGTTAAGGACTGTTAGATATGTTTAAATCCTCATAAAAGTCTTGTGAGCCTTTTTTTATGTGCAACAAGACTTCACATATATTTTTACCTTTGAGCGATGTGTCCTTGACCGTTATAGTAGGGCTTAATTCTCGTACAATAATCGTCATCGTAAGGCGTGTTTGGGTCTGTCCTTTACCTTGCTCACAACCCTCAACGGGAAGTTTTGTTTACGTTTTAGTCCTCAAAGATTGGTTGTTTTCAAGTACTTTGTTGTACATTTCGAATGTCTTCTAAAATTTTTTGGTTAGCGCTCTAAAAGATCAGCTGCCTGTTCCGTAAGCCCAAACATGCCCACCGATAGCATATTTAAGAGCCTTTACTTAAGGCTGAATAAGGGAGAGACAGACACAGACACAGACACAGAGATTCGGAGAACGGACAAAGGTTCCTTATCAGACTCTTCGTGCCTACGTTTGCGAGAGGTACTTAAGCCAGCTAACCCCAACATGTCCAAAATGTATATTCTACTCGGTATTGTTTCTGTTTTTATCTTTTTTTGAGGACATCTTTTTTAACGAACTTTCGTTTCAGCAGCAGTCTACTTTGGACTAAAAGTTTGCAACCGTGGAAGTATAAGGGTATTTTGGGATTTAAAAAAGTGGCTGAAACACAACATAATACCAATTAAAAAAAGAAGCCACAGATACGCGAAAACAAAACTAAGCAAACACGAAAAGTACGAACAAAGATTATCCAGGCGCCTACACAAGTCTTATCTATCTTATCTGTTCTCTAGACATATGTGAACTTGGAAGTCTACGAAGGTGATAACTACATCAACTTTGATGTGATTACGAACAAAGAGTGATAAAAGATGTCCAATTTTTACCATAAAGGCGGGAGCGTGGACACCCGGTGCCAAGTTTGA